CCCCCTCCCTCCTCCTCTTTCCAGCCCGCCCCGCCCACCTGGGAAGGCCACGGGAGGCCCGCCTCTGCCGCGGACGGCTCTGATTGGGCTAAAGGGTGGCCCTCAAAGCCGCTTGCTTTCCTATTGGGTGAAAGAGGGCCGTGGAGGCGAGCTGAGGGAAAGGGAACACAGCTGAGTGGGTGGGTGGGGGGAAGAGGCGGAGCGAGGAAAGAAGTCGGGGAAAAGAGGCGGGCCTATGCGCCCACGGGCCAATGAGAATGGAAAAAGAGGGTGGGTCCAGTTAAAGGGACGGCTGCCCCAAAATAAAAAGGGAGGCTTGCCCCCCCCTCAAGGGGGCGTGGGGGCGGAGTTTTCTCAGACTGAGAATGGGAAGGAAGCGGAAGCCTTTGTTCATTGGACGGAGGAGTTAATGACGTAAGGCAGCGAAAAGTGTGAATGGAAAAAGGAAAGAGGTTGTATCGTAGGCACAGCTTGTGAGTAATCCGATCCAACATCCTGCTAGGCTCCGGAGATGCACAACTGGGGAATCTCCAACGCAGTTAGGGCGCCTTTATTTGCTGCAAACCCATCACTTCCCACAGAGAACAAATATATTTATTTATTCCTGGTGCACTGGTTGGAAGACAAAGCCTAATTTCCGGTCAGGTCAGTCCTAACAGGGAGACCCCAGTATATGTGCAGAGATGGCCTTAGAAGGGATTATTGCCCAGTAGACCAAGCTGAAGGGTAATTGGTTGCTACTCAGTATTCTGCAGTGAACTAGATGATGTATTGGTTGAACTATTGATTGGAGGTTCGCCCAGGTTAGCCTTGATGAGACCATTTCAGAATGAGAGGGAGCAGGAACAGGAAAATGAAAGGCAGAATGAGGATGGCTGCAGAGGTAGAGGTTTCCTCAGTACTAGCAGGGGTGGACTGTCTCTGGAGGCCAAAATGCTGAAGCTGAGGCTGTCCTGCTTTAGGCACAGCAGGAGAAGGATTCTCTGCAAAAGACAATAATGCCGGCAAAGGTGGAAGGCAGCAGGAAAAGAGGAAGTCCAAATGCGAGTTGGATTGACTCCCTAAAGGAAGCACAGACTTCAGTTTGCAAGAGCAGTTCAGGGCTGTTGAGGGCAAGACCTTGAGGGCAGGACCCCTCATTTATGGGGTCACCGTCAGTCAGAAGGAACTTGACGGCATATATTAACAAATTCCTAGTAGAATTTGAACAGTTATCAAAAACATTCACGGAAAACTGAGCTAACACTAAATTTACTAAGCAGAAGAATTTCTTGGTCTTTTCCATCCAAGTCAAACCGAAGAATGAGAAGATCTGCAAGGATGTGAAGTGGGGAAGAACAGTGACTATTTATTATTTATTTTAAATATTTTACCCCACCTTTCTCTGAGATAAGGACCCAAGGCAGCTTCCATCATTAAACGAAACAATATTAAAAGCTAAATGCTATATGTCATTCAAATATTTCAAAAGGATTAAACAAATATCCTATTAAAGGACAGCAATGGTGAAGCCAGCTTGGCTTCCCATGGGAGAGAGTTCCAAAGTCTGGTACCCACACAGTGAATTTTATGTAGATAAGATGGTACATTTCCCACATTAAAACATTTTGTTTGATTATAAATGCCCAATAGGATAAAAAAAGGAAATGGGGATGAGCACCACCGCCTACGGTCAGACACGACTGGACTAAATGTCAAGGGGAGCCTTTACCTAGGGAGCCAGAAGAACCTGAGCCAACCTAGGTTGGCCTTTTCCTTGACTGAGATAATTTCCCAAAGGATGACCATGCTTTCCAGAGATGCATACAAAATATTCCTTGTTCGAACTACAGAATCTCTCGATGCATCCTTTCCTGATGGAATGTGCAGTGAATGCTGTTTTCCTCACACAGAGAAAAGCTTTCTGTTACAAGTTGAACAGTTCTGTGTTATCTCATCCACCAGGTGTCATCATTACTCCACAGAGAAAAAAAAATGCAAGTTTTATGTTGAAAAAGGCATTCTTATTCTCAGAAGAATATTGCACGATTGTATCCCCGCCACTGCCATGCAATAGCTGGCGCACGTTCCCACTGGGGCCTGGGGCCTCCCAAGTCTTGCTGAATTACAAACCCCACCCTCTCTCACCATTGTTCCTGCTGGCTGCAGCAGATAGAAAGGGTCCCCCAGCACCATCTGGAGGGGGGTGCCTTCCAAATACCTAGGTCAGTATGCTGTCCTATTATGGGATGGCAAAAGGATGGTTACAGGCTCTCAAGGCGCAGAGGAGGCCCCCTCATTGTTTGCGAAGAGGGGTAAAATATTTTAAGGTGTATTTTTTGATATATATATAGAGAGAGAGAATGCAGGGCAGTGGCTAAAATCCAGTAGTTAGTCACAACTAGAGCAGGCCCATGGAATCAGTGGGGATTTGGTGAGTCAACTCCCCTGTAAGTGCCACTCATTTAATGGGTCAACTCTTGCAGCTTACTACTGGATTTCAACGAGTATAATTTTATTTATCTTTAGCCTTTAGTCTCTCCAGGTCAGTCTCCCTCCCTCAGATGCGCCTGCCTAACACATGGAAGTTGTGCCAGGTAGGGAAGCTTCCATGGACTCACCCTCTGGGTCACCTCCCTAATACAGGAGAAGAGGCTTCATCCGCTCAGCCATTCCTGCACCATCCCATGCAGGCAAAGGGACCTTTGCCCTGTCCGTTTCAGTGCAGAAAACGGTGTTTCTAGCAAGGTTCCTATTTAGACAATTTAGCTACTGACTCTTTTCTTCAAACAAGAGGAACAAGTACCTAATGTTCCTGGAAAAGTTAACTAACGATACTTTGGAGAACAAGCACTTTTCCCTTGTCTTGGCTTTTACAGGAGAAAACACCAGACATGACAGTCTCCTTGGGATTAAGCCTTGAATAAGTAAAGATGTCCCAATATAGAGAGCTTGGGTGTTAGTTTAGGGGGTGGAAATAATTATGTAACTGGCTGTAACTATCACCCATAACACGCTGCTGTTATGATCGTATGGATTTTTTTTTTGTTAGTACAGTAAATTGTTTCATTCCTTATTCCCATACTCATAACTTTCCATCTACAAAAAAAGGCTAAATATTGGGGGAAATTCACGCATTACACCGTGCATGAAGAATCAAGACTAAGAGCTGTTATGCCTCTTGCAAAAGGAGTATGGTTATAACCTCGTTAAATGGGAAAAGTTAAGACTTCATGACTTGCAGTGGGTCCCATCCAAGCTCTGATTCAGTAGCTTGCCTGCAGAATGCTTCCCTGGCCTTCAGCTGTGTGATTTTCATTTACCTTGAAGAGTGGAAGGCCAGGGTAAACACAACGGGAGAGTATGTGAAGTTTTCTCTATTCTGTACATTTCCACTGTTCTATAAGTCTACTGGCAGCCCATGTAGTCTAATGGCTAGAATGATGGAGTAACATTGAGGAGGCCCAGGTTTGAATCTCCACTCAACCATGGAAACTCACCAGGGCTGTGACAGTAGAGCTGGTAAAGCCACTCCTTAAACACCTCATTTAATTTGAAAACTCTATTAGAGCCTCTATAAGTCACTTCTGATATGACAGCACATGACAACATAAGTCTACTACCACAGCTGCTTTCTCCAAATTCTAAAGATACATTTTGGTGCTAAAAACCCTTTGTTCAAAAAGTGTGCAATAGAATAGAAAGACTATTTGTAGTGTTATCTTCCATGGGTTTGTTTAAGCCCCTTGTAAAGCTACTGTATCTGAATTAGTAGTCGACACATTTCTCCCTCTCCCTTTTATTATATCCATGAAAGAGAAAAGAAAGAAAGAAAGGGGGGGGGGACCCACAAAAACTTGTGTTCCATAAAGCTAGCACTTTTCGGATCATTGTGTTCTCATTATAACCAAACCAACCAAATCCTCTTCTTTTTCTCTTGCTCTTGAAGTGTGCATTTTTCAAACGGAGGAACAGACCTTTGATCAATATTAGTATAATAAGAAAATGATGGCTCAAAATATGCTAGCTGTATGACAGGCCACACTTCATGTTATTTCACAAGTGTGCAATGGGGGGGGGGCGGAATTGGGAAACACATAAATCGCCTCCACCTGAAATGGAACCGCAGCAATTTTGGAATAAATTGTAGCACAGAATAAATAGGGAATCTGTCTCCTTTTATCAGGGACTTTTCCTGGAAATCTGGGAAGAAAGAGACCAAACCAGTTACCAAGTAAGAGAACAGCTATTGGAAGTGAGACCATAGCTAACCAAATAGCTCTGTGGATGCTTAAAGGTTTATTGTGGGAGATGCTTTTATGGAAGGCAGATGGCTGACTTCCCGGTCTTCAGATCCTGCAGTTAATGAAAAAGGTCCTGGAATGACGCCAGTAGAATATATATATAATCTTTTGCTTAAAGTGGAACCCAAATGACTTACCTTCCCCTCAGAGCCAAAAGTTTAAAGCTGCGTGCTCTCAAGATATTTTTGGACCGCAACT